GGAAGTCCATCTGACAACTCTACCCCGTTGGGGTCGAGGGTTTGGGTTAACCTGTCGGTGCCCCAATCTCCCCAGAGCTTGGAGAGGGGTGAGGGGCCTCGGCTGCAATGCCATCTTCTGCCGGTAGCAGGTTCGCATTCCCTTCTGTGGCTAGCTAGCCCCTCTCTCACCTCCAAAAATATATTCAAGTCGTGTCATAAGCACAATTACGATTCTAAAGTCACCCAGGAGGTGCAAATCCCTACAGTCCAAATTGTTTTAGGAAGGCGTGGCCACACTATCTGGACCTCTGGTGTGGACACAGGTGGCTGTCCTGCTGCGGAAGAGGCAGGTTTTTGTGTTGCAGGGAAAAGTGCGGTTTTCGTGACTGGCATCCTACCCGTGAGGCCAGCTGCTCACACCATGAGAAGCCAGGAAGGATATGGACTGATAGGAAGGCCCCATCTGCTGCCCAGTGTGGACCAGCGGGCAAATCGCTGCCCTGTTTAAACGGTCTCGCTCCCTTGCTCAGCACATAGAGAGGAACCGGCCCAGGTGGGACTGCGGCGCACTCCCCCACCCCAGCTGATGCTTCGTCCTGGGCCAGCCCCACTTCGGGAGAAGGGGGCCTTGCTGACACCCACCATGTCACTGAGGCCACCTGGACGTGACGCACTGCTGTGAGACAAACTCTCGTCTGGGAGTTGTGAGATCTGGGTCCTGCTAGTCACCTGCACGCAATGTGACTTTGGTAAATCCCATCCCCTATCTGGTCCTCTGTTAAATCTCATCTGTAAAATGACCGGGTTCACCTAGAATCCTGCTCCCTCCTATGCATCCCTGGAAGGGGCCCCGGGACAGGACCAAGGGGGGCATCACAAAAGGCCATGGTGGGACATGCTGACATCCTGCAGACTCAGCTCCTTAAAACAGCTGCCCGCAGCTTCCCAGATAGAACGGCCTCAACACAAAGCAGAGCAAGACAAGTTAGAAAAGCCAAAAACTTTAATTGTCAACATGAGCTACATGGTCATGAACACAATGCAACGTGACCCACTCCAACCCAGGGGCTGGAAACCCTCCCTCCCCAAAGGCCCGAGCGGCCCCCGCTCCTGGAGAGGGAATGAAGGGAAGGTTGGTGGATGGAGAGGCCTCAGCCTGAGGAACCCGGGTCCTGCCTTCCTGCCACCCCCTCAGGAGGCAGTTGAAGAGTGAAAGGGCTCCAGAGCTGATGTCTGAGGCCCTGGGTTCAAGTCTCCACTTTGCTCTCACAGAAGCCATGAGTAAAATGGGCACGACCAGACTCCCTACGGGGTTTGTGAGTCAGATGAGCTCATGGACATGAAAGCTTCCCATCACTGAGGTGCTGCCACACAGACACGGGGCCCTCCCTGAGGGCTGTGGGGGTCCTCACAGGGAAACGGGGATGGCTCGGTCCCCTGGGCCTGGCACAACGCTGCTGCTCAATAAATAAACACAGGTGGCCTTGCCTGACGCAACAGCTGTGCTCCAAGGGGAAGGGGGCTACGTGCTGTTCTGAACACCGAAGTGTGCCCGGGAGCTCCTGGTTTAAGGACCTGGATGGTGAATCAGCTTGTAAAGTGCACAGCCACCCCCGAAACTGCTGTACTTACCAGCGCAGAAGAAAGAGCTCTGAGCTGTTGGGAGGACTGAGCTCTAATCTGTGCTCAGCCACTAACTCACAGTGGGACCCTAGCAGGTACCTTCCCCTCCCAAGGCCTCAGCTTCCCCCTCTTTAAAATGGGGCTGATAAGGGACCCCCACCTACTGCCCAGGGGATCCTGTAAGGGTAAAAGCACTTTGAAAACAAAAACAACAGGAAGAGCAGATATTACATCTGAAGGTGTGAGGATCTCCTTGAGATGAGGTGTACCCGAGCAGCCTCACACCCACGCAGCCCCCGGCAGGAAGTGAGCTTCTTACCTCCCTCGAGTTGGTCCTAGAGGGTTATGGCCCCTCGGCGGGAGCCCCCACCCAGTCACCAAGGCCTGGACCAAATCCTCAGTCAGCTGGGCCAGACCCCCAGGAGAGCTAGATCTCTATGGCAAACCCTCTTCCCCAAACCCAGGCCCAGAAACATTCCTGGCCCGTAGAGATGGAACCAAGCAGGAGTGGATGAACCAGGGCTTAAAGGCCACAACTACTTTCCTTAGCAGACATGCCCTGGAGCAATGGTGTCCTGTCCCGTGAAGGAAGGAAGCACAATGGAACCCTGTTCTGATTTACTGGGGAGTCGTCCTGCCCCAGCTCCAGTGCAGCCTCAGGTAGGAGGCCCACTGAACTTACAGGTGTAATTCCTGCACTGGCCTCTCTCCTAGTCTGTAAAATGGAAACGACTTTACTAATGGTCCCAAAGCCCCTTTCCCTTTAGTATGAAAAGCAGATTCTGGAGAAGACTAACCCCCACGCTACCTCTGCATGTGACCTTTGGACCAGAGATTGAAAAATAAACTCGGTTCCCCTAGAGACCCAGCCCCTCCCCACCCGATTCCCCCCAACTCTGCCCTCTCTGATCCCGTCCAAATGGGGGAGTTTGAGCTGCAAAGGATCTGACAGCAGTGGGGACAGGATGACCTTGAAGGTTCCCAAAGCTAATAATGAGCATAGTCACCCCCTCCCCAAGCCCTATCCCTGGGTGAGGACATGGTGGTTCCCACGCTAAATGGGGGGTCAGAGCCCCTTGGAAGGGGGAATGTGCTCACAACGATGATACAAAGAAAA